ACCTTTCGGTTAACAGCCGAACGCGCTAACCGATTGCGCCACAGAGACATTGATATTGAAATAAGTCATCCTTTGTTTTGTGACAATTAATCACGTATGTTAAAGAGATATATGAGGAATTCAATGGCAGATTTAAGGGAAGTTTGTCACCATGATATAAGTGCAAGGAATATTCCAATAATATCTTGAAAAAAAAATAGCTGAATATTTAATAAGACTACGTTAGCAAAATAAAAACTTATTTTATGTCAAGTATGAATCAGTGATACACTATAGCATGTCAAACGTTGCATTCGATCTTTTTCATTTGCATTGTATAATTTTCGATTTGTATTGTATAATGTTTATTTGTATTCTATAATTTTCCATTTGTATTCTATAATTTCTCATTTGTATTGTATAATTTTTCATTTGTATTGTAAAATTTTTATTTGTATTCTATAACTTTTCATTTGTATTGTATAAATGTTCATTTGTGTTGTATAATTATTTGTATTCTATAATTTTTATTTGTATTCTATAATTTTTCATTTGTATTGTATAATTTTCCATTTGTATTCTATAACTTTCAATTTGTATTCTATAAATTTCCATTTGTATTGTATAATTTTACAATACAAATGGAAAATTATACAATACAAATGGAAAATTATACAATACAAATGGAAAATTATACAATACAAATAAAAATTATACAATACAAATAAAAAATTATACAATACAAATGAAGAATTATTGAATACAAATACAAAATTTACAATACAAATGAAAAATATAGAATACAAATAAAAATTTTAAAATGCAAATGAAAAATTAAAGAATACAAATGAAAAATTATAGAATACAAATGGAAAATTTTACAATACAAATGAAAAATTTTATAATACAAATGGAAAATATACAATACAAATGGAAAAAATCGAATATTGCAACGTTTGACATGCCATAATACACACGTAAATATATTTTTTTTTTATTTTACAAAATTTTAAACAATACATGCACCTTTAGATATTTGTACAATAACGTGGTGATTCTAGTTCTAACAGATTTTTTTGTGTGTCCAGAATGAAAGATTTTGTAGCTTGTGGGGAAAGGGGCCATACCTTGGGCACTCAATACACCTTTCTTTGTAACAACCGACTTTATCTTCTCTTAGTATATTACTGCATATGTTATATAATGCATGTTTATCCCAAGGCAAGTCCAATAAAAACAGGGGATGGAGGCAGTGTGAGGTGAACATGGTATTTATAAATAAGCCTTTCATCAGCATTAACATGTTAATTATGACCGTTCAATGAACCTGAAATATTTGGCCTCTTTCCATCATTCCAGATTGTCAGAATTTGTACAAGTGTTGTATGATACATATATTATTGAGAATGTGTAGCTTGTTAGCAATATCACAATGAAAAATCGAGATACATGTATATAAGGATTTTATACTTGATGGCATGGGTTAGTTATTAATGAAAGCGTCAAGAAAGACAACTCTAGGATGTGTCAAAAATAAACACGCACCTGAGGGGTCGAAGAACTATCGATCAGGAGCACATGCATGACGGGCACAGATCATACATAATTACAGTAAAAAAAAATACTTGAACGTGGAATATGGAATTTTAAGTAATATTCCTGGAACATTGCTGCGGATGCGTCGATTTCTATTTGTCAAAAACTCTCTGGCACAGACTCAGCAGCATCTCAAATCAGTAGTCAAAGACCGGTTTTGACAGCTAACAAAAGTAAAATAAAAATATTCTCAATATTTTTTAGTAGAGCTGGTCTTGTTTATTGCATATTAGATAGAATGTGACCGTAGACATACTTGTGATGATTTCTAAGTAGCAATTAACGAAAAAGCACAAACCCTTCAACATATACTTTAAATAAATGTTTTCGAAATGCTAAGATTATAAATATAATTTGATTGAACTTATTTCTAAGTCATAAACAGAAGTCGCTTAGGTTTGTTTTGTGAACAAGTGATATTTAGTGCTGTATGTTGTATTGTTTAGTTTTGTTACAGATGGTATGATTGCAAATTTAATTACAGGGTACAGAATAGATATTTCTGTCGGTGCAGAGCCCTGCAGCATTGGAGCATCTCTGTTTGCAGGGTTTTAGGTTCTATTGTATTGGAGCACTACATTGATGCGTGCTTGCAGAGATCAATACGGGGTATCGATGCAGATTTAAACTACTCAGTGTTAACCATTAATAACAATTTTCCCGATTCTCATTAACAAAAATACATAAAACTGTCATTTTTAATAAATGCTGCGTTGCTGTCCAGGCCTTCAAATCGATTATTACATAACCGATAGTTAATCGATCCTTGTATAAATATTTGACAGACTTTCAACGCCGTCACTGACCAGTGTTACGTTAAGAAGCCGCAAGAGAATAAACATTATACAAACAGACATATAGAAAGTAGATATTGGCCGTGCCGTGTAGACCTGCCGAGCCTGGTTCAATATACAAATTTCGTCAAGGTCTCCTCTTCAGTCGTGAGCTTTCATTGTGAGGGACAGGTTATATGCTCGTGACTATATTTAAAGCCTAAAATTAACCTGTCCGTATTGATGCTATGTTTGCGTCTAATTTCACAGCTGATTAAGGGATAAATCTTCTTACCTATCAATTAGCCTTCATTGCCGAAAATTTACTTTGATTTTAAAGTCGCGTACATGTGTGCGTTAGCTCAGGTGAAATCATGAGTCATAACCAACGTTGACAGTTGAGAGTTGTTGGAATATTGTGTACATTTTTACACAGTTCTATGCGAAATCTATGCATATTGTAATCTGTTGACTTCACTGTTCATGTTTTGTGGAAATAATGTCTGTCGAACAAAATAGGGAGTGCAGCCCGCACCCCGAGCCGAACCACGTGAATACATCGTTGAAATCTGTCAAATTCGCCCCCTTGGAAAGTACACGTATCAGTGAGGTGGGATTAATTAATGACAGTGACGATCAATTCGATTTCCATTTCAGGGAATCTTCGCAGAAAATCCAGGAATCAGTTCGTATATGTGACCTTGACGATCTGGTTAACGATGTACCTATTATCAAGAAGGAAATTTCACAACCCAGGTAAACTTCATCGTATGCATGAATTCACCTTTATATTCATTTATCACCTGTTAAGCCGGCATGTTGACATTTGTGCTTTTCTGTTTACATTTTTTATTGTGAAGATCAATATTGTAATCTTTGAAGACTTCTATATCCCCGACCACAGGTAGAAGGCTGTGCCAAACAGAAGAAAACCAATTACTGCAAAATCAATTGGTGGCCCTTTTCATTCACTTATCAAGATTTGCATTATTGAGTATGTGCTATCAAAATTCGTCTAAATTGATATTTGAGTTAAACTTGTCCGTTGAGATTTAACTTATTGTAGCTTAGCAAATTCCCATTATTGTTGTCCATGTAAACCGGCTACCACCGTGTCTTTCTGATTTCCTCTCGGTCAACTGTGAACAAATATGAATCGATCCACAAAAAGAAACATAATTGGGAAAGTATAATATCGATTATGACATTAAGACTTTTTAAATCCTTTTCTTAACCAAGAATCACTCTGTGGGAATAGAATGCTTTGTGAATATTGGACGAACAGTTGCTTAATTTTATCTTTAAGCCTATTACAATTACCATTCAAGAAAACAAATTTTCCACTAGCGTACGTCTGATTATCTTCAAAGAAATCATTCATTTTAATTAAAAGATACATATTAGAGGCCTGCGAAAGATAACGAAGACTCTACGATGCAATGCCTGAGAAAGTTGCTTTTGTAGAGCAACGGAACTATTTGTATGTAACAACCGGAAACACTCAGGAAAAGTAAACATTTGCTCCTGCTTTGTTTTTTCATCTAAGCAACTATGAAATGTTAAAAAAATTCGGAAACTTTTAGATACCTGTACACCATATGCAATCAGTGATGTTTAATCTCAAGAGTAAAGCGATGTCATTTATCTGCTTTGTGAACAGTAATATGCAATAATAGTATTATTAAAGTAAAGAAAAAAACCTCTAACAAAATTGTGTTTTTCCTTAAAGATGCATGTGGAATTTGCAGCTGTTTCTTTATCATGGATACGATGAAGATCAGATCTTATATTCACCGATGAAACCGAGTTTTTGACATTCTTGACTCTTTATTAGCTTCATATAAAACACTTCATCAAATAATGTACAGTAAATAGTGACGACGATTAAGAGTCCGAAATACAGCTTTGTAATATTTTGCTTCGTAAAACATTAATTGGATATTACGTACATTTTGATACCAACAAGTTCCACATTAACCAAATATATACCTGTAATGTTTTAAACCTTTGATATTTCTTAATCTGAATTACTTCTGCTAAAGCACTGTTTACCATTTTTACTGCATGCTCTTTTAATTAACTTGAGGTCGATGATGTAAGCCTTAAGGAAGCTGCATGCAGATGGTGATGTTTACAAAAGAGAAAGTGTAAACGTGCCTTCATTAGAAGGTTGTCAATATGTCGACTTTCATTTGGATAAATGGTTCAGAATGTGTACTGAGATCCATATTGGATCACATTGTGGTACTCTGTATGGAACGGATCTGTAAAAGCTAAAACACTAAATAACTTGAAGAATTTACTTGTTTCTTTTCCTGTCATTAGTCACCAATTATTAACTAAGTCGTCCATCAACGTCATTTAATAGCGACAAAGAAAAGAAGGGATTCACTAGACACGTGCAGCAATATTCGCTGGTGGTCAGACTTGGCTGGATTTATTTTTTACTGTCTGCAAAACATCTCAAAGTTATTCAAATATTCCCAGACATTCATTTCTTCGTTTACGACTTTCATAATTTACTCTAATCCCCAGACATCTTCTTTGGTCTTTAGATATGTGTGTGTGCTTTTGATTTTATAAAGCTATCGATTAGTTAGCCAGCAGAGAACCATGACCTTAGCCTTACTAATATTGTTTATCATCTAATGTGAATCTCATATATTTCCATAGCAATGTTCTGTAATAATTTTGGAAGCTTTACAAAAATGTCTTGAGGAAGCAGGTATTTTAGGGTTGGAGGCGTTTCTTTTATAATTACCTCTAAACTGTTACATCGAAGAAAGCTCACTTCGGAAATGTAATGGAAAGATTTAGTTTCGAGGACACAATGGTTTAGGGGTTCTGTTCTGAGAGATTTCGCTTAACATCATATTATCTGCCAAGAACTGTGTGCTTCAAAAATACGCAGTTGTGTTTTGAAGGCATTGAGATGCGTTTGGAAAACGAATGGAATGAGCTTCCGTGTTTCTACAAAATGGGATTCTTTTTCTCCGGAAATTCCAATGTCTTAATGGGTGTTCTCGTGTAATTGTCATTCTGTGAATGTCTTGGCAGTATCTTTGTCTAAAAATATCGACTTTTTCACTCCTTTCTGTGTGACAAATATATTTAAAGTGCAAAGATGTATTGATTTCTGTATAGATTCATGGCTGACCACTGATTTCGATCTTCGAACCCACGATGGAACAAGATAAATCGGAAAATAACAATTCTGTTAAATCACGGGAGTTAAATTTAGGAGATGGATGTTGTTTGAACTGTACTTGTCGATGGTATGTAAGAATTTTCTCATCATATTCATTAGAAATGGTGATGATCGAGATAGCACTTTAATAGGTTGAAATAAAAGGGAGTGATGTTTACATTTGTGATATTTATCGTCTTAAAATGTTGTTCTGTATTTTAAAAGTTAATTAAGGACCATGTTGATTATGAGAGGGTATTCTAGATCAGATACAAGCAAACTTACAATCCACGTTTATTAAGTTTTAACATTTATTTTCTTCAGAGCGCGTGGAAGAGACATCTCTAAACAATAGAAAGAATAACTTAGCAGTATAAACGTCAGATGCACATTCGTAAATCAGATAAGACTGGCATTTATATCAATAATATATAGATATGCTTTCATGGGCGGTAACTCTCTATCGTATTTGTAATTACTTTAGAAAGAGCAAAATAACTGGTTTTCCAAAGTTGAACAGAAGCATATTGAGACTGGAATGTTTCAGATTTTAAAAGTGAGAAGTAACACCTTTATTTATCAGAATATTGAATTCTAGTGTGAAATGCATCTTATCTCAAGAAGGGTCAGATAACAGCATCTTAAAAGATAAGCAAACTTGATTGACTAGAGGAATACGTGTAGTATTTTGGTTTCTTATAAGCAAACAATCCATTGTTCAGTTGTGATTAGCCTCTTACAGAGGGACTTTTATCCTTTTCCCCATCTGTCCTGTCCATCAATCTGTTTGTAATGTATATCCTGCCATAGCATCTTCTATGCGGTTGAACGAGTTTGCATCAAACTTGATATAAAGATGGATTTTGTATAAAAAAAAAAAAAAAAAAAAATACATAAATAAAAAATTTAAAAAAAAATCATCATTATGCCTATTGTATGGTTGATTTTTTTCTTATCAAACTTGAATAGATGGTAGATCCTCGTGTGTAAAGCCATAGTTTTCTATAGAAGAGACTACGTATTTGGCTTGATGCATTCTTCTCTAATGAAACCCCCATCAGATGACATCGGTGTTTGAGATCTTAATCATGTCCCTCATCTGACAAGTAATTGTTGTCTGAGCATTTATGTGTCTCATACATACCTTGATTGTAGAGGACTGTCAGAGATATATCTAACTTTTGCAGAAACAATTTGGTATCTAGCATACATCAGTAGAGATGGAAGGGGACATGCAAAACTCTCAGAATGCTTGCTCTGAAAGTTCATCTAAAATAGAAACATTTGTATGCACAATAAAGTTTTGCTGGCATTTTAGCAATTTGTTGGTGGTAAACAGAGTCTTATTTATACGCGAATCTTACGTCAGTTGAGGTTAGGGAATGTGTTAGATCTCCCTATATTATCTTGCATTATACAAATGGGCATGATATAGAATACCCATATCAACAGCGTGTGATGTATTATTAAATGTATTTAATTTTATTACACTCTTCAGGTGATTAAGTTAAGTTAATTTATGGTTTCTAATGAAAGAGTTGATAGATGTTCTCTTTCTCTCTCTAAGACTTTAGGTCAAGGTCAACAAATGTTTTCATTATATCAAATCCTTGAATAATGTCGGCATTTTTTTTAATTTTATAGTGCATTCACTCCTTTTTATCAAATATCTTGAAATTGTACTTCAAACAATCTCAGTAATCGCATGTGTTGTTCACAAAAATTACCGAACACTGTGACGTTCTAGACTTCTAGACCCGTAAAGTAATATTTTGTATGATACGAAAAATTCTGGGTCTTTTTTTTTTGTTTTGTTTTGTATCTTAAAGCTATCATGACAACAGTTTGAATAAAGTTTCTTTAGTTTTTGGAACATGAATGATTTTTTAAAAATGTCTTTAGAATACCCGATGGAAGAATACTTAAAATACTTGAGAACACTTACTGGAAATAATCAAATTTTCTACTATGTAAATAGATACAAGTAGATGGACCTTTAACGTTGAAAGATCAGTGTTTGCAATATAACATGATCGATGGTTTTGTTGAGACATATATGGGTAAGATAATTATATTTGGACGGACATTTGACAAACATTTGACTGAGATCTAATATCCTATTTTTTTATGCTTTGATCAGCCATGACAAGGCCCGGAACAATAAAGTGAGTTTCTGTGATACTCCTAATGAAATAACTTCCGCACCGTCAGCGCCGCCTGGCGAGCTCAGCCCCACGGGGACCAGTGAAACTATTGTCCTCTCAGATACACCCCTAGGAATCTGGCCCGTCAAAAGGTCGGCCAGGTAAGGGTTCACTCTTTTTCTATGATGTTTGATTGTAGCAATCGTTGGCTTTGTTACTACTGTAGAATTATATGAAGCATTCTGTGTGTATATCTGGAAAAGCTTTTCTGCTGCATGCTTCTCCCGAGTCCTGTCTACCGCACGATATTCGTCTTGGTTAGTTAGAATGACTGCAGAATGATGGATTGTGGTGTTGTCTTACTCTTCAGTATTTAGGATGATGTATGGCTTTTTGCCATGCGTGGCCAGTATATTGTGCAAAAATTAAATTGAACACTGTCACTTCAACGTTGAATTTATTATACAGTGGATTACTAGAAGTGTCATTTACTTCTTTAGCTAAATAATCCAATTTCGATTGACAATTTTAATTAATTTTTTACTAAGCTTCGAATTTATGTATTTCAGAATTATGTGCATAAATTTCACATAAGTGCACTTACACATGGGATAAAATATGGATTGTATAAAAGAGTCGTGAGAAAATGAAGATCTAATACTATATTCAACGAACTCATTCCTCTTAATATAATTAAGAATTGTTCGCCAAGTTTCTCAGTTATCGTACATATCATTAAAAGTGCTATATTGAATTTTAATCAACGGAATGAGCATTTGATTTTTGTGTTTTGAGAGAAAATGCCTTATTTTTTGCTGTACTCTGTGCACCTCTATTCAGGAAAATAAATGCAGAAACAAACGTATTGTCTGCATATTCATCCATGGTCAGTTATGTTATTTAATATAATTAACCAATAATTCGAATGGACCTTCATAAATTCCTTATTCATTGTATTATTTATTGGTATACCAGAAACCCTTGTCACTTCTTGATCTTGGAAACATAGTTGTTTCTTTTCACTGTTGAAAAGTTGACGCAAAATTCATTATACAGTCTTGCAAAATTGACTCAAATCACAACCATGCAGCAGAACAACCTAAAACAACTGTTTGGAAGTTTGGAAACAGTTGCTAGGAGTGTCTGGAAGCAGTTAGTATGAATGTTTGGAAGCAGTTGCTATTATTATTATTATTGGGAAGCATTTGCTATGAATTTTTGGAGGCAGTTACTATTACTGTTTGGAAGCAGTTGCTATGAATGTTTGGAAGCATGCAGTTGTTATTACTTGGAAGCAACTGCTATATGAATGTTTTGGAAATAGTTTCTATAAATGTTTGGAAGCAGTTGATTTAAATGTCTGGAAGCAGTTGCTATGAATGTTTTGAAGTACAAATAGTTGCCATGAAGCATTGGAAGCGGGCGCTAATAATGTGTGGAAGTTTTATACATGTATTAAAATTTGGGGGCAGTTGCTAATTTTTTTGAATTTTTAAATTTTTAGCTATTACTGTTTGAAAGCAGTTGCTGCAAAGGATTGGAAACACTTGCTATTAATGATTAGACAGTTGCTATTAATATTCAGAAGCAGTAGCTATTGAAGTTCAGAAGCAACTGTTATTAATGTTTGGCAGCACAGTCTTTTGTAGCAGTTGCTTTGAATAATAAGAAGTAGTTGCTATTATTGTTTGGAAGCAGTTGCTATGAATGTTTGAAAAGAGTTGCGATGAATGTTTGGAAGCAGTTGCTATTAAAATTGGAAGTAGTCCTTCATGTACTAATGTTTTGAAGTAGCTGCTTTCAATAATTGAGCAATTTTCATAAATGTTTGAACGTTTTGCTGTTTAAATATATATTCGGAAGCAGATGTTATATATATATATATATATATATATATATATATATATATATATATATATATATATATATATATATATATATATATATATATATATATATATATATGATTGGAAGTAGTTGCTAGATATGTGCGAAGCTATTGACTGTTTATTGTTTGAATACATTTGCTATTACTATTAGCTATCATTATACTAATGTTAGATGTCACTGTCTTTTTTTCAAAATCCTGCAAGTTTACAAGAGTGTTTTGTGAGATATGAAGATTTTCACCCACAGTCACGTTACCCAGTTATTCTGACTAGTCTACATAACATTCATCAGCTGCATCGTTGAATTAAACCTATTACTGTTATTTTGAACCTTGTTTGTGTGATACTGAGTATGCTCTTGATTTTAAAATAAGGGAAGTCTCACACCCATACTGAAAGATCCTTATAATACTTCTATGTCAGCGATATGACAAGTAAGTCAACTTTCTTTTGGAACGAGCTTCTATACACTTTCTTTGTACACGTTTTCTAAGAAGCAATTGAAATTCAGATATCACCCAGTATTTCTATAGCCCAGGTTTGGGTCAGCTTCCGGCCTCTGCACCTTCTTACAGTAATACTACAGTAATGTTGCACTGACTTCGTCCTCCAAAAAACTATTTATCTTAATTAATGCAGTCGCTTTCATCAAATATCGTACATATAGATCTAATAGTAGCTGTGTCGGTTCTTGCATCTTAAAGGCCCGCTAATACACTAAAGCAAAATGTTTTTGGACATTGAGAAAAATATATTATAAAAAGGTGTTAATTGAGCTTATCTATTTAAGTACCTGGCATTTACTCCCAGGAAAATAGGTATGGATGAACAGAAATCACTCCTTGTTTGTTTACTTAAATGGGGAAAATGCATGCAAATAAAGTGTTCAAATTATGAATATTGATTTATTAAAATGTTAAGAAAATTTGAATGGATTATAAATTGAGTAATTCACTGTGTACTTCAATTTATTTTACTTTTGATCAAAGGGCAGATCACTCTAACTATATAAAATACCACAGAATCAGAACTCTTTAGTCTAAGTGTGCAGTATACATAGAGGGTTCTTAATCAAGGAAGCTCTCAAAACTGCTCACTGAAGAGTTCCAATTCCTTGGTAAATTAATGCTGTTAGAGTGACCTGTCCTTTGATATAAAATGGGTAAAATGATATGTACAGGAAATGACACCATTTTAAAAAGATTTAAGTATTCTCAACATTATATTAAAACAAGATAAAGTTAAATTTAAAACATTATTGCTCGGAGTTAAACAATAGCGATTCCTGTTCTCTAATGCTTCATTTTTTAAAAGAAGTATGACAAAATATGCTGAAAATGAAATAAACTCAGTATGTACATCTTCAAATAAACATTTTCTCAAAGTCCAAGAAACATTTTTCATTCATTAGTGTTAAGAGCTTCCTTTAACATTTCAAGTTTCCAAGAACGTAATTAATTACTGAGATTATATAGGGAACATCGATCGACCTAGTATTTTCCTTAAAACCTGCAAACTCTCGGTGTATGACATTTTTAATAAGTTAAAGTGTGAGAATCTACACATAAAATTTTGTAAGAATATATTAGGATTGCATAGAAAAAGCGCAAACTTCTCCTCATTATCTGAGCTTGGTAGACTGCCTCTTCATTTTGATATTATTAAAAGTATTTTGAATTATGTCCATAGATTAGAATGTCCAGACATGTCATTTCCATTATTGAGAGCAGCATACTCTCAAAGTAAGATTAATTGGAGTAACAGTATACCATCCTGGTATGGAACATTTAGTAAAATTGCAGAAATATTAAATTTTAATAAGGATACTTTTTCTAACAAATTGCAAACTTTCAAGACTACATGCAAAAAATTCTTATTTGCATATTACATGAATGAGTGGAACTTAATAAGATTGTCACAAGAAGGTAAACTGGATACTTATGTTAAGATCAAAACAAATTTTGGACTTGAAAAATATTTACTTTGCCTACCATTTGAACAAAGGAAAGTATAATATGTAGGTTGCGTACATCTTCTCACAATTTACAAATAGAAAGAGGTCGTTATTTGGGCATTCCTAGAGATCAAAGACTTTGTACTAAATGCTCAATGAATGTTATTGAAGATGAAAAACACATACTTTTTGATTGTTTGAATTATGTTACAGGAAGAGAGAATATGATGAATATTATACAAACACACTGTATCATTTAAATAATGAAAATAAGTTGTTGTGGGTTCAAACTGTGAAAATATTGAAGTGCTTTTTGCTGTATGTGAACTAGCTAGACAAGCCATTTAAAATATTATGCATATAAAGTCACATTGCAACATTTTCTTTAAATATATAGTACATGTAAATATATGTAATAATAATACATACAAAAATTGACACTTCATGTATTGTAATAGTTAGTACTTTTGCATTGCCACGTGGTATCTTTTGCAATGCGAGGAATGTAAAATCTCCCCACTTTGCATTAGGGTACACGGTAGTACTATATCATTTATCAACATTACTTACATATACAGTGTCAAATTGTACAATATACAAATACATGTACTGTAGATTATTATTTAGTATACACATAAATTGTCTGTACTGTTTGTAATTGTAGAAATCATACTTGTTGTTTGTGATGCCTGAAAGGGCCCTGATTTGGAAATAAAGAATCTATAATCTATATAGTCTATACACTGATATTACATTAAAGGCCTTGTCATATTAACGCGTAATATATATATATATATATATATATATATATATATATATATATATATATATATATATATATATATATATATATATATATATATATATATATATATATATATATATATATATCATATACGTTTTTTAATCACATGATTAGCAGAGCGTGTTTTTACACTACGGGTATTGATAATAAGGGGACTGTAAATATTTTAAGGATGACGTTTACTCAGATGACAAAAGAATGAAAAACCACCTATTGTATATTGTAGACCTATGATTGTTGGTTATTATTCACTTTCAAATATCTAGGTCAATGACCTACTTTTCGTGCTAGTGGTCCCTGAGTATTTCTCGGAAAAAAAATTTCACACTGTGACCAGTATTTCTTTAACTAACAAAATATTATAAGCAACAAAACTCTTTAGATAACAAAATATAATGACTGTGGAATAGTTTTGGTACATATAAATAAACAATTAAGAGTTTGAGACATAAACTTGAAAATTACTCCAGTCCAAATTTTCTCTGTCAATTTTCTAATTTTTATTTATTTTTAATCTAATATTACAAAATTCTGAATGATAAGAACTCTAAACTATCTATAGCCCCGGTTTACTTTTGTTGCCCTTATTCTGCTGGTATTAAAATTATATGAAGTCAATGATCAAATTATTGAGATATGTTGTCTGGAATGGTTTTCGTTCATATTTTTGAAATTCTTTATTGCATGTCATTTAATTATTTGAAATAATACATGAGCTTTTATACACATAATATTTGCAAAATGATGTTTAAAACACATAGAATCTGGACTTTGTGAATGATATTGCAAGAAAAAATGTTTTGTGATAAAAATGAAAAAGTAAAAATTTAGTCGAATTTACTCTGCACCAGCATATGTTTACTTTTGTTCTTGCATATTTTCTGCAAATATTGAAATATTAAATTATTAAATTGATACTGAGTTATAACTTGGTTATTTTGTGCACTTAGAACATTTTTTGATTTAAAATATTTTATACTTCAAATCATTCCGTTTCTGCAATCTGAAACCCTGAGTAAACTGGTAAACGTCATCCTTAAATGAAATATCACTGTAGTTGTGAAATGATTCTTTTACGTTTAAATTCAGTCTTTCCAAATCTAATGAATACAATTTATTTAGTAGAATTTATTGGAATAATTTAGTAATATTGTTAAAAAGTAAACGGTTTGTCGGAAATTTAAAATTACTGAAATTGAATAAATTGCAAGAGAAGAATTGAAGTTAGACCTAACTTAATTTAAAAAAAATCATAACATCATTCATTTATTAGATTTTTGAAGCATTTGTGAAGTCAATTAAAATATTATGTTAAAGAACGGGGTCGAATCATGGTGCTCTAAGGTCGGTGAGTGAATGTAATCAAAAACGATATAGGCATTGAGCTAACATTAATAGGTTTCCTACTGTGTGCTCCATTAAAGAAAAGAAATGTACTGAGATTATTGTTTTTTGTATAATTTATTGACCTGAAAGTTGTTGTTTCGGTGTCATTTGCCAGAGATTGTTTTGTTGAGTAATACCATGTGGTGCAGTGTTGTGCATGGAATAATCGTTTGTTGACGCCTTGTAGAATGTAGCATGTGTCTGCTTCTAATTACACGAGGATACATGTAAAATGTGTATAGGTATGAAAAATACCAAGACATTCCGAGTTACACAACACTGGGCATGTAATTGATTCATTCTTTTCAGCAGCCGTACCAAGGGTTATTATATACACAGTATTGTTTTCCTCTAACGGGTTGTAAAGGTGATAAGAGTGGTGCTATTTTATGTGAAAGAATCAGGCAAAACAGTGAATGATTAACGCCGATAGGGGTCGTAGATGAAGCGTGACTTACGGTGGCTCAAGGCGCTGTTGTAGTGGTTAGCTTCGAGGAGGAGGCAGATTCCGCAGTGTAAACAACACGGACTGCTTGCTGTCTCGGTGTCAGAGGATAACTACATTGTATGCAACGACTTAGTGACAATTGTAGTTATTAGATTAACATAAATTCTGCAGTTACCATAGAAACAACACAAATTGATGCATCTGTAGGTTTGTCTTGGAGTAGCACTATGGAGGATCCGCGTGAAGGGAGGTAGGTCACCTTATCTGATGGCGGACATTCCAGTTCTTCTGACATTGCCATTTCTTTCTCATCGATTAACGTCTCTCTCTACTTTATTCATCCTGCTTAGTGTATTGATTGGAGGAAGTATTATTTTATTGATTCCATGGAATAAGTGAATGTGCTGTCAGTACTTCTCGTGTCCGATACATGTACATGCTCTCTCTCTCTCTCTCTCTCTCTCCTTTTACATTTACTATTGCAATTCTACTGAATTCTTGGGCTACTTTGTTCTTTTTGTAAAATAGCAACTTATGATAACCCTCTGCATCCAGACTTTATCAGTCATGGTTCTTATCAGAAACGGGCGGAAACTTCCTGTCGTGCAAGGAATTACGTCTGGAGCTGGTTTGCCCCGTTTGGGTCTTGTTTCAATGCATTGTAGGAGCATGCCAACCCCGTTTTATATACCAAAAGTCGTAATTGTGTAGATAACATTCTCATTCCTATCTTCCCTATGCTATATTCGAATTACAGCAGTTGTTAGATGTTAATCTTTTATGTAATTAGACTATTATGTTGCATGTGATAGTCGCTTAATGGCTGAAAATTTGTACGGTTTGAGGATACGTGCAAAATAATGCATTTTTCACTGAATTTGGTACAATGTACTGTAATTACATTGCTGACAAAGTTTTTTTTTTAAATTCTTACTCTTCTTTGAGACTTAATGGAAAAATGAAATTACCAATTATTGTAATAATTATTTTGCAAGCTGTATAAAGTAATCTACGCCCTTAAGGAATAAGATGATACATGTCGTAATTAATACTTTTTGTCATATGATACATATTTTAGCATTAAATTTAATTGAGAACAACAGGAAGCGGAATATGTAAACACGTCAAATGACAAGGTGTCATTTACGAGCTAATCGACAAAATATATTGAAAAGAAGTTAGAAGATATCTGATAATAAGTAGAGCCTCTAGGCTGAAATAGCCAAACAAATCGAGGCTTTTCTTATTACAGCTAATCTGATTACAGATGTTAATTCCGCTACACCGCAAGTAACAGCAAAAGGGTGTGCGAGATGTAACACTTGTTACTGCGCTGTGGAAGTCGCCTTTTGGCAACAAATCACTCCAAACTATTTTGTAGCGGAAGGATCCGTTATATAGAAAATTTTGAAGAGCGTGGACTACTGAGTGTATTGTGGAGATTTTCCAGATGAATAGAGTCTGGAATTTCATCTCTGTTGATGCCATTTATTGATTACCGGCCGTTCTCCGGAATCTCTGTATTTGATATTGATTAGTAAATGTAACCGGAAATCTATGGAATTACAAAATAACACATAAGCAAGAAAATTCAGATACATCATATGCTCTATTATGCGAAGTTCGCATCAAAAATAGATAAGTTAAAGCCGCCCGAAGACAAATCAGATCCTCCGTCAATTGATTGGGGTCGACAGTATGATCTGTTTTATGAAGGGTTCTCTTCAGATATCCTAGGATTTAATGTAGAAACATCATTTTACGTAGGGTAGCAGCGGGGAACCGTTACCTTGTAGCATATTTCAATCCCGTTTTATCCAAAATACAAATGACGATTATCTTTAATGATGGAGAAATGTAGCTATCCTAGTTCATGGTGTGTCTGTACGTATTTATGAATCAGGTTTTCAAAATTTACATACAAGTACTAATTAATGTTTTTTTATCATTATTTTAGCTTAGAGAGCAGGGACAATCCTTTCAAACCAGATGGTGAATTGTGCAAAGAAGCAGAAGACATTTTAAAGCGAGCTACAATAGTTCGTGATACGTTCATTCTGAACGACAACTCGGAGAAGGACACCTCCAAAACGAGCAAAGACAGTTCTAATGGTGCACAGCCAATCCTAGAAGAAAGCATATCTCAGACTAAAGTGAACGAATCTCAGTCTTCACCGGTCAGTATTCAGCCCAAGCAAAATGGAGTAGAGGATAAAAAAGTGTCTCCAGAATCTGTAAAACAGGAGGTGGAATCTAATGTTGTTAATGATGTTAATTTCAAAGACAAGAAAAAACAAAAGAAGTGTTGCAGCGTCATGTAGCATTTGGAGTGTCTTAGTGTTTATTTTTTACACCGGGATTATAGTGCAATGATGTCATACAACCACTACCGGGTGCATTCAGGATTCGTCCAAAAATTCACTTGTGCAGGTCATGTTACAGTACTTATCATTGGATGTCGCCCATGTAACGAAGCATGTCATTGGTTATTGCCATATTGAGTACTAAATTTTTTGCTTCCTGTGTGTGGGGAATTTGTGAGCAGACGACATTTTAACGAATGCATGGTTGTTGTCAGTTGACAGATTCATTCTCCCAGTATATGAAATCCGCTTTAACAAATAAAGTTTTGTTTGAATTCCTTAATATGTATCGTTTACACTACACATGTCGATATATGTGATCTGTGAGAGGAAAATGCAAATGAAAATCAAAGAAGAGTCAGTTTGAAGTATAAATATTATTTCATGAAAGATATATTTTTGTCATTTGTTATTTTGATGTAATATATTTGTGCAAGTTAATACATTGCTTCCTGTTGAATTATTGGTTTGTCTTTCATTAAATACATCGATATGCGACAGAAACAGGTATTCCACAAAACGATGATCAGGCCGAATATTCAGTTTTGATTTTAACTGTATTTTCATTCCTCATAATGAAATAGTTGCCTCACCCCGCTATAAAATTCAACACACTAACCCATTGACAGTATAAATACACAGATATCTGGCTCTGACATTTGTCTTGTCTGCGTATCCTTGGTAATACTCTACTAAAAGCTGAACAGTAATTTTGGATGCAAAATGTCCACTTAGCATACCAACAAATGATTCTGTAGTACTAGTAAGTTGTTTTTAGAATGCAGATTAATGTACACAAAAAATAACTAAGAACTGTGAATACATGAATCGGAGCATGTATTATGATATTGTGGATTATTATATTAAAAAAATCTCTCTTCAACTTCTTCACTAGAATTCTACACATGGAAGGTATTAACAGAAAGATATAAATGTGAGTTCTATTCTGATCTACCACACATTTTTTCTTACTGTACAACCACATTGTTGCGATGTGGTTTTTACGCCCACAGATGAAAATGATTCCATACATATATTAGGTGTAATTTCATCATGACAACGACCCTGTAAGTGTGTTTTCAAAGACTTTGGGTTAAGAGACGTAGAGATGGCACAACATAATTAGAAAGAGAAATTCGATTCGTTCTTAAATCTGGAGGTGATGGGCGTCTGGCATGATCAGTTTCGACATTTCAGATGTCCGAACGTTGTTCAAGGACTCATTACAATCTCAGGCTGTGGAGTAAGTGCCTGTCTGACTTCCTTACAAACACGTTAAGTTGTAGATTTTTTGTAACATGGGTACAGAGTTGAGACTCAGGTTCCTATTTTTACCCCCGTCATTGATTGGAGATATCATATACATGTATAAGGGACAAGTGTACTTTATCATAAAATACTGCAAGATTACGTCATAGTATCGATTGTCATTTGTTTCGGAGGAAAGAACTGTGTGATAGATGACTTCCTTTGCTTGTGTCCATCCTTCCCAAAGAAATCGATAGATATATACGTTTAGTTGACAGCTGGCAAAGGGAAAAGAAATTAAAAGAAAGAGAAAAAAAGAGTTGTTGTTTTATGGATAGTTTTGTTAAATTCAAGTTACATGTACTTCACACTTAAAAAAATACAATTTAAATTAAATTACGGGGACAGATTCAAATCCATTTAACTTCTGTAGAAAACTTGCGAAATCAATAAAAGCCCAATGATTAGCCTAATTCCATACCATCTACCCAGTGTTTAATTATGCAGTTTATCATCGGACAGGATCCATTTTTAAAAAAAAATGTAACATATCAAAGCAACATGTTTAAGCAAAGCAAATCGAAGGGACTCGGACTTCCACTTGTCTAAAATATTGCTCGCTTATCTAAAGTATTGTGAAAATAATCGAAGTTAAGATCTTTTGCAGCTGTTTTTATATTCCCATGACTATAAGGTTTATATCGATTCCCAAACATTCTGAATACCGTTGTGAATGTAATGAACTGTATAATGCATCAAACGGAATAATTCACATTATATCCCCCTTAATAATGAAGGGTGCAACATCTGCGGACAATCTCCCATTTTGTTACAAAACAGATCGCTAAAAGTTATGTATCTTTGGGGGATGTGCATCTGATGAATGTTTTATTTAATAGCGAGTATGCATCACCGAGTCAAACGGAACAATGGTACAACAAAATAAATAGGATAAAAATAACCAATTTTCCTGTCATCATACAAATTTAATTTAAATAAATTTAAATGAAACAATGTTTATATAGTATATATATTTCATTATTTGCACAAGTTTTCCACGTATTCCATAATAAAATTTTACCCTTTACTACCAAGCTCAACTTCATTTATTACACTCACACCAACAACAATATTGGTACATGAGGTACTGTACTATATAATGACATATAAATTATGAAGGATTTTTATTTTAATTGGGAAAAGGATGAATGAATCGTCTTGAAATCCAATTCTTCATTCGATGGTTTCTTTTTCTTTCTTTTTTTTTTACAGCATAGTCTTTTTCATAGGGACATGGGATTGCTTTTTGTGCATGGACAATCATCATTATTATTAATTTCTAGACAAAACATACATTTAGAAAAATGTGCAGTTGATAGCTTTTCTATTCATGTTTATATAAAACAAGATTAATGCATGAAGTATTTACATACAAAACGTCTATAATCAGGTAAAAAAGCAAACTTTGTACTGAATTATCATGATTGTACCCCCTTTCCGACCCCAGGCTAATCTGTAATTTTGTGTAAACTGAGCGTAAATCTAGCTTTAAAAACATATTGTAGACGTCACAATAAAATATAAATAAAACCAGGAAAAAAAATTTGATGTGGAATAAAAAAAAAATTCTAAAAATACGAAGTATCTTTGAAAACCTGACGAAAGAAGATGGGAGCGCAACTGTCGGCAAATGTTCACAAAATCTAGAAAGTAAATTACCTCATTATACTGTTGTGTTATTTCAAATCTAGTTTGATTAAAGATCAATGCACTTTACACTATCATATATACAACACTGACGTACTCACTATTGTTGCGTTTGACGCGGTGAACTTGCACGTGAATTTATTATTTCTTCGCAAACTTGCTAAAGGTGTGTTGTTTCATAATTATATAGGCCTTGTACAAATCGCTGTACGGAAGAAACATCTGCGTACGACCATTGGCTTTCATTTGAGGGTGCTAGATTTACAGCAGTTGCGACATTCATTGCATACCATCTCTTCAATGCTTGCAAATATTTACTTCAAACGAAACTAGCGAGAATATGCTACTACTCTCAGAGGAGTCCTAGGCGGCTATAATTTGTAACTGGTCATTTATTATATACGAAGACACAAGAAAAAGTCACAGGCTGTCAGATCGAAACTCGGTACTGTTCTCATCTAGAGAGTCCAGAATAATATGAACCTCTAATGCATTAGTTGATTAATTATTTTTCGCGAAAACTTGGAAGAGGATATATGGGACTTGTTTGTTCTTAACCGTGCATAAGGATTTCTAAGCATTTCAAACATATTGATAAGACCCTCTGGAGTCTCGACTGATATGCATTGTGTATTGTATAAACAGAGACATGTTTTTTTTTTTCAGAATATTTAGGCTTCTGTGCAGTGCAGCATAATTGTATCCAAAGTTTGCAACAATGTGAAACATACTTATCTTAGTCATAGAATATTAAGGAACGCCCTAAGGCTTCACTTCACCTAACATACATGTACGTGTATTTCCAGATCCACGCTGCACTAGGGGAGACTTCAAAAAACAGACGAAAATTATCTTAATATAATTACGTAAATGAAATGTTATCGTACTTGTTAATATGTCTATTTTTTTCTATTAAATCACCAGAAAATTTATAACATCATGTCTACTGGAGAAGTTATAGCCCCTTCTCCTACATCACCGAGAAACTTTGATTTTAAGGTAGTACAAAACATCTGTGAAATCAGTTTTAATGCATATATTCTCAAATATTTACATTTCTAAATATTTTTCCTTAAGATTCTTTGCAAATTAGAAAAAGTTTACGTTCTCATGAACTACCGTGGGATGGGTAAGAATATTTCCGTTGTGATGTAATTGAAGTAAAAAAAAAAATAGTGCAAACTTTTTTTCAAAAATGATCGTTGAATGACAGAAATATGTGGCAAGTCATCAGAAAAATAATGTAAATATTAGATATGAATTTAATTTTTGAGAATTCATGAGATACATGAACTACAACGATTCACGCCTGCATATTTATTATGAAGCGCTAACGCTTCATGAAATATGCCGGCATGAAGTGTCGCAGTTCATGTCCTCATGAATTCTCAAAAAATTAAATTCATCTCTTAAACAAACCAAATCAATTAATAAATTTATAATGTCGGCATTAAATGATGTTCTGAACAAAAATTAATCATAATCTATGAATTAATTCGTACGGAAGCCCATTTAGGACCTATCAAAAATATTTTTGAATTCCATATAACGAATTGTCAAATTTGTTAAAAACGAATTTTATTTATTTTTTTAAATTCTTTATAACGAATTAAATTTGTTATCAAAGAATTGCTGAATTCGCGATATCGAATTCAAAAAAATTGTCAAAACAGATTAAATTCGTCTAAGCGAATTCTAAATTTTGTTATAACGAATAAAATTCGCATATCTGTTGTGTAGAAAAGTCTTTAAGTACTGGGCTGTAAAAGCGAGATAAAAAGTAATAACTAGAAACAATCGTTATTACGAGATAAAAATGTCCCACTTAGGAAAGTCGTTATTACGTGATAAAAAGTCGTTTTAACGACAGAAGAAAGTCGTTATTACGAGATAAAGAGTCGTTATCACGACTTCAGAAAGTAGAAATAACAAGATAAATTCCTGTGACATGTTTGGGTCACGTAACTCAGGTTTTTTAAAGCTTCTCCCCTGGAACGGCTGAACCGATTTCAACCAATTTTGGTAGATTACATGTATGGGCAAAGAGGAACAACACTGATTAATTTCATGGTCTCTTCTCTCCTTGGGGGCCGTTGGAGTGGAGCCGAAATCGTCAAATTAATGTGGTCTTCAAAAACCTTCTTTACTTTGGAACACCAGTCAAACTGCTTAAAATAAGCTATGGACTCTCTACCAAAATTGTGAAATTCATGGCCACTGGGTTCAGACTGCAGGATGGGGCTTAGTTAGTCATATAATAGTATGCAACTTTCATTATATGCACATCTTTGAAAATCTTCTAAATTCACTCATGAACATTAAGCAGGCAAATCGTTTAAATTGCGTTATTGTCATGAGCGCTAACTCTTTACAAAAAATACGAAATTCATGTCCTAGGGTCCAGCCTTCTGGGCCTCTAACGCTGAGATTTTTATATGTTGATGGCCCCGAAGCCAGGAGTCAGGTCCAAGAATAAGGCTGGTCACATTTGAGACAAATTCAAGC